TAGTTGTGCGGACTTTTCGGTCCAGGGCGTTGAGCTCAGTTTGAGTCCACCTGAGTATGCCAAAGGTATACATGAGGACTGGCATGACCCAGCCGTTAAAAGCGCGTGCCTTGTTCACGCCTGACAAATGGCTATTAAACACCTTTGTCAGGCGTGCAAAAAACACGTCACGAACTGACTGTTTCATGCCAGCCTCATCGATACACATATTTTGTGACATACCCAGGTATCGGTATGTTTCAGCCTCAGAGTGGGTCCTTATGTTAACGTTAATGTTATTATTATTATTATTATTATTTGCTAATGTGGCTCAGTTCTTTCATTACTCGTAGCGTCTTACACCGATGATTCGTAAAAGGCTAAGTATTAGTATTTCAAAGGCAAGTTGTCGGAGCAGTTCGCTTACAACGAATTATTTGCCATCCCTGAGACCCGAATCCAACACCGCGCTGACTACGACCAATGGGCCCGCCAAACAGTTGACGGTAACGCAAGAAAAATAATGGAACAACGACAGTAAATCTCGGAACTTTAATTCAATATAATATTTTACGACGACAAAACCAATAGAGCTATTCGCAGTTGATTTACGAGAAATATTGCAAATATACGAGTAAATTGAATTCATTATTGTTTTTAAGCTTTCAATTTTATCTTTACTGATAAGTGTGCAAACGTTATTTAGCTCTATCATTACTTAGTTGTAGTGTCTAACGTAAATTCAGGAAGTAATTATTAAATATCACGTAATACTTTGTATGGCTTTTTTGTGCTTATTTTAAACGATCGTCAAATACGGCCTTCTTCTTTCTCAATTCGTTTGTATATGTTTTATGTTTGTTTTTGCCACAGAACTACGTCATTTATGAATCGATTCTAAAAAACTCTTTTTGCATATGGTTCGGTTCAGTTCCCATGTGGTCCCCTTTGATTATATACTTGTCAAATATATAGCAACTGTAAAATCAATAACAAGTATAATACAAAGGTGGTCATATTAATTACATTTTTATCCTAATATATTGATAGCATTTCAATGTTGTAAGAAAAAAAAATACAAAAAAGAGGATAACAACGGAGTTGCACGCCCGTTTCTTCTCCATTAGAGGAACCTCATTTACGTAACGGGCACGCGGCAGGCCCAGACGGAGATGACGCGACGAACTGGACGCATTTGTGATTTTGATTTGTGATTTTTGATTGTGATTGGTCCGATATAGCCCACGACAGGAAGAAGTGGCAGAAATGGTAGGAGGCCTTTGCCCAACAGTGGGACACTGATGGCTGATAAAGTAAAAAAAAAAACGAAACGGTGGTAGATTTAAAATAAAACTGAACAGACAGTTAATAAATGACAGAAATGCGATAACCGCATAACCGCTATATCAATGTAGCTAACATGAGCTGGTAAGTGATATTCTTTAGATCTCTTTACGTTTCTTTAAACCAACAGACGCTTATGTGGTTCTATTAAAATTGGTGGCGACACTACCCGCCCTCAAAGCCTTTAAACACAACAAATTGACGTAATGCAACAACACAACAAACTTACATAATAACTCCTGCTGTCTTGCAGCCTTAATCGGAGAAGTCCTAGTCTCAGAAGATCGGTAGGTAAAGCCTTATAACAAGTAAGGTTACCTTAGACTTATTCAAGTACACGTGAACGTAGTGAACTCGGGCCTGTCTGTTACGCCAGAGGGTGTGGGTTTGATCCCCACAACTGGAAAAATATTGTGTGCTGAACATAGTGTTTTTCCAGTGTCTAGGTGTTTATATATGTATCATATATATTTTTAATTAGTGTTTATCAGTTTTCTGTATACACCCATATTACAAGCGTTGCTTACTAGAGAAAGTGGTGTAAAAATTGTCCGAAGATATTATTATTATGGGGGAGGATATTTATTTGTTGTCTTTTCTCGTTGGGTTTATAAATAAGTCTGGTTTACAAATAAAATTAAACATGGTGAGGATATTTATTTGCTTTCTCGTCTGGTAGGGGTTTTAAAAAGAGGTTGACTGGGATTGATGACATTCGCAGTCACGGGGATAATTTTTTTTAATGTGAAAAGTTGCCAAACGAGCAGACGGTTCACCTGATGTTAAGTGAATACCGCCGCCGATGGACATCTGCTACACCCGACGGTTTGCAGATGCGTTGATAACTAATAACAGAAATTGGGCTCCGGTTACCTCACTCACCAGACGAAACGCGAAAGTATTTGTCATACTTCCACTTTACGCCGGTCTTCTGTGAGGTCGTGGTACTAAGCCGGACGGCTTTGCCCATTCGTGCAACAGCCGAAGCTGCTGCGTGTAGAGCGACGTAAAAATTTCAGTCAACACACACATGTCGGTCACCTCGTGAGCCTAGTCCAGATATTTCGTCTTCTAAATTAAACATTATTATCGGGATATTGATTTGCTTTCTCGTCTGGTTGGGTTTATAAATAAAAATACACATATTATTATATATTCTTTATTGAACACCAAAAAACATAAAAGGAAATGTTACAGAACTATAAACTTAAGAGGTATAAACAATAAGGCGGTCTTATTGCTAAGGAGCGATCTCTTCCAGACAACCTTGTGGTTAAAAATATTTTAATTTGGACAACGGTAGGTGGTGTAAATGATAAACTTACATACTAATATTTAAATAAACTAAACGAATATGTTGTATTTTTGTATTAACCTTTAACATATATAAATATATATGTAAAAGTAAACATATATTCCCAGTCGCCTCAGATGTTATATTATTATTATTCTTTAATTGGCTGGCGACATCTTTGATGTGTGCGCGCATGGGCGGTACTAACCTACGCTTGCCATGACTCTGATATATGGCTTTCGTGAAATTGACTGTGGCAGGGCCATGTATCATGTCTGCTGTTGCACAACTCGTGCTCGTAATTAGAAGTGACAGCCTTACAGAAGACCAGCGTCAGGTGGAAGTATACTTCCGCCTGTCAACCTAACCGGGTCTACTAATGAGTTTTAATGAGAAGTTTGTTAACGTATCTGCAAGCCATCGCCGTGCCCATCGAAAAAACTACTACACTGAGAATGGATCCTCAATATTAAATTAATACAAAAATTTTACCGCGCTAGTGGGTCCAAATTCGATTCGATTGAGTAAACCTGTTTAAAAATTAAATAGTGCGTTTGTTAGACCGGTTCTTAAACGGTGCGAAAAAAAATATTTAATTCGATCCGGAAAAAGGCATTAAAACCGATTGAGGTTTTAGAGATAACCTTTAAAATAATGCCTCTACGCATATGAAGTCGCGTGTCGCAGCTATTGGTTAGAAATGTGGTCAATATATGCTAAATGGTTTACTATTATCCTCAATAACACATTATTTATCGTATATTTATGGGGGACGTTACTTCGCTCGAATGGATGGATGATGTAATTTTCGATGCAGTGCTATTTTCCGGTCGTATTGAATTACCCACCTTAAACCAATGAGTTTATGTCCCATTTTACCGTGTCGATGTTGCTTTTGAGAACTCTTGATATGCAGAAGAGCTAATAATAAAGAAAAACTAAGAGGAAAAATCCGTTTTACTACTTTTATTTTTCGTGTCCGTTCACTACGCACTTTTTTATAGAATAGATAAAAAACAACCAAGTCATGTAACGTAAACTTGTGTTCGGGCGGATGTGTTTTGAATAAACGATTTAAATATGTACATAATTATAACGGCCGCTCAGAAAATTCTTTGGGTTTTGAGCAACCTTGGTTACATAAAATCGGAAGGTAAACGTGCCGCGTTTCCCTCGTTCCAAATTTCCAAATTTTGAATCGGAGGCCGTTTTATATATTTCACGATGATGTTTTAATAAAGATAACGCATGTCCATACTACGCGGCGTTTAAAAATTTTCCCGCTTTACATTATATGCCATATATAAGGAAATGTGACAGATGACATAGAACGTATGATAAGAATGGATATACCAGTCTATAGAATTGCTATCTTATTAGGTACACCTAATTGGCGTAATTTGATTGTCTCAGTTTCCTTGCGCTAGTGTCGTATCTACCTCGTATTTGTATATATCATTGACATTTTACACAAATACGAGGAAAGTATATAGAAAGTATAAAGATACAAAATAAGGTCACCCTTCAGGTGGCCTCTGCCTTATACCCTTAGAAGAGAGAACGCCTTTTTCCGCGTTTTCACGAAGCCCCACACGAAAACTGCAAATGTATTCCTGGTAGATGGCGCTTTAATAAATGTTCATGTTTATATCGCTTGTACTTCACATGCCATTTGGATATTAACCTAATAATATCTTGTATTTAAATATAGAGATAATAAATTCAGCATCATGTAATTTATTTCTAAGTAATTTCTAAGAAAATCACAAAGTACAAAGATGGCCAATATTTTTATTATTTTTCGAAGTAGTATCCATTCCTCTGTATACATCTTCGCCTTGATTGAAAACTATGAGAAGCGTATATATATGAACACTATGAAAATCCCGTTCTTCCTTAGGGCCGTTCTACGCCTATTTTCGAACTTACTACAGGGCTCGCAAAGCGAATACCTCGAAGATTATAGTTGATTCTTGGAAATAAATGAAAGTAAATGCGTGCCAGGTCTGGAGTTATATGGCGGATAACTCTGTATCTCGACACCGGCCATAGTCTAATATTCAATTTTTCGTTTGCGCTGAAGCGTTGTCGCGTTGAAGGAGATTTCTGTTTCGCTGCTGTCGAAAAATTTCCAACGTATGCATTACATTACATTAACAACAAAAAAATTTACATTCAAAATTTTACTACGAGTAGTATGTTGCTTGTCAAGTGTTGTTTTAATCGGTGTTTAAGTCTTAACTTCAAAAATGTAATATAATAACACATACTTGTAACTTTGATTGATAAACAGAACAAGTGTTTATTTTTCTCTAATTGTCATCAAATGTACATATGTTTGTTTTCTTTTTCTTTTTTTATAACTGTTATTCTTTTCACACAGGCGCCGCAACCGGTAGAACCATGGAGTGATGAGCTTGACGCGACACAGGCTGGACCAGTCTGCGTGCAGAGGAATCCTTACACGAGGCAGAAGGAGGTGGTGGGGCAGGAAGACTGCCTGTATCTGAACATCTACACGCCGCTCACCGGCAATGTAAGGCCAAATTTGATGTGTATTATTGCACTAAATGAAAAAGTGGTAAATGTCCATGGGCGGCGATTATCACCCAACAATTAGGTGCATTTGCTGAGCATTACCGTTTACACATGAGAGTCGCTGGATGGCGCAAATAACAAAAAAAAACAGAATGCATGCTGATGTTTTCGGGCCGTGAGGAGATGGGGTGCTTAGCTCAGTTACTCGGGAATCAGTTGCGAATCCTGACGGTTATTCTATGAACTAACTTTCAACGCCCCTTTGTAAATCTCTCAAATAATAAATAAATTAATATAAAGGACACATTTTTACACAACGTTCTCTAGTCACAAACTAAGCAATGCTTATACTATGGGCACTAGATAACTGATAAACATACTTTTCTTTTGTAAATAAATACATAATATTATACATATATAACAATACCACAATATTTTTTCACTTGTCGGGATTGAACCCTCACTCTCTGGTGCAGGCGGCAGTACCCTATCCACTACGCCATAAGGGTCGTATAAATTTATATTGCTATTCTCAGTCATCCACGATGTAGTTTTATTAATTTCATAGCCGATTCACGTAACAACGTTCTTTGAGTGTTTTCTCTTGCTTTCAATGATAAAGACTCAAAGATTTTGCCTCGACTTAGGTTAGGCCACTTAGCAAGGGCATGCTCCGCTCAACCTCATCAACAGATTTTTATATTAGATTGATAATTTATCTTACATATTGATAATAGAAACATAAACATTGGAAAATTACTGTCGTATGTACTACTTGTCAAAGTGGCCGCAATCCGCCACAGTTTATCCAGTTATTAATCTAAGTTAAAATTAAATGCAGTCTCAATAAATATTCGCTGTGATAATGCCTTGAAACCATGTAGATTTATATTAGCATAAGCATTAAGGGTAATCTGGCACGCACTTAAACGCACTAATGTCATTGCGCATGCGAAAGATTATGTGTTTGTTTATGATGCTAATAACTGGCGTATTTTTATTCATATTTTTATTTATGTGAGAAAGTGGCAAACGAGCTGGCGGTTCAACTAATGTTACGTGATAACCGCCGCACATGAACAGTTGCAACACTCGTAGGGTTGCAAATGCGTTGCCACCTTTTAATAAAGTGGGCCCCGGCTACCTCACTCACCAGACGAAACGCAGAGGTGTATTTCTACTTTACGCCGGTCTTCTGTGAGGTCGTGGTAATTACCCGGACGGACCTGACCATTCGTCGACCACAGATATTGTAATAGAAATTTGCAGTGCAGATTAGCTGTTCTGTTATACGAGTAGTTCGTGATAGCTCATTGCCCGGGCATTTGCTTTCAATTCAATATAGTCGAGCAAGCTGAGTTCGATTCCCGGTGCCGGCACAAATTAAAATGTTAATTTTAAGTGCTGATTTATCACATGTTCAGCGGTGAAGGAAAACATCCGTGAGGAAACCTGCGTATTTTCGAAATAATAACAAAAAACTAAGTGTACCCTCTGTCTAGAGGAGGCCTTTGCCCAGCAGTGGGACACATATAGATGTTGTCCTGTTAAGATATGCATAAGATCGGAGGGTTTGCTGTTGCGATATCAACTCTTTAACTTCTCTTATCAGATTATATTACCTTTAAGGACAGTCTTCTGGGACTTCCCAGAAGTACTATACTTACTTCTCTCGCTCTGCCACAGAAAAATTTAGATTAACGGCTTAATAAACTACTTGCATATACCATATTAGCGTAGTGTACAGTAGCATGTCTCTCGTGCCGAAATGTGTGAGCTACGGGAAAAATATTCTGATGAATGTAATGCTTTTATAGTGTTTATGCATATAATACGTAGATATTAACCAAATATGTTTATCTGTCATCTATTACATGCTTCGACTAAAGTTGTAGGTTAGTTGTAGGATAAATTTTTCTTCAACTATTTGTTCTAATAATAATTTTACATTTAAAAAACATCGCGGCCGCAGCCACGCGTAAAGGCTAGTATTAAATTAAATATTTGAAACAGTAACCACCGCTGTCACATATCACCTTTCCTGAAATCGATTCCAGTATCGGCTAAAGTATTAATTCTCACATTTATACGAGTTACTTGCCCGGCTTCGCACGTCGTTTACTTTTAACAACTATGTCTTTTTCATATACCCATATCGCAATCTGCCTAAACGGTATACTTAAATAGAAAAAGAAAATACAGTCGAATTGAAATAGAAAAAGAAAATACAGTCGAATTGAAATAGAAAAAGAAAATACAGTCGAATTGAAATAGAAAAAGAAATAACAGTAGAATTGAAATAGAAAAAGAAAATACAGTCGAATTGAAATAGAAAAAGAAAATACAGTCGAATTGAAATAGAAAAAGAAAATACAGTTGAATTGAAATAGAAAAAGAAAATACAGTCGATTTGAGAACCTTCTCCTTTTTTGAAGTCGGTTGAAAATAGTTATTATCATTGTTAAATTAAGCTATTTTACACGTTTTTAGGGTTCCGTAATCAGAGAGTAAAACGGGACCCCATTACTAAGACTCCGCTTCCTGTCCGTATGTCTATCTGTCCGTCCGTCACCTGGCCGTATCACATGAATCGTAGTAGTTAGACGGTTGAAATTTTCACAGATGGTGTATTTCTGTTGCCACTATAACAACAAATTCTAAAAAATAAAATAAAAAAATATTTAAATGGGGCTTCGACACAACAGACATGATTTTTTGGCGTTTTTTTAGATAATGGTAACGGAAACTTCGTATGCGAGTCCGACTCGCACTTGGCCTCCCGACGTTTCGAACACTTCACAGCCATGGGTCAGATGAACTGTTTTTCTTTCTATTTTTTTTGTTTACTCTGACCACCGTCAAGGCTTTAATCGACTACCTAAGAAGGTTAATGTATTTCGTGCGTATTTAACCGACATATCTAATTCATTAACACGCTCTACAAACATAATCTTTTAAGAATTATGCTTGTTTGGTTTTTTCCGATCTTCGCTGAGCTTGCTCACAGTACATACAGGCAGACATCGCATATCTAATCCATCTATATAATAATACCTTAAAACGAGCAATTCTTGTATATTATATATAATCTGAATCTCGGAAACGGCCCCTACTTTTTTGCATACTAGGCATGTAGGCGGTTTCAGGGGCGATAAATCGATCTAGCTAGGTTTCCTATAAAACCTCGTTTTATCCGTGTTTTAAGGCAATGAAAAAACTGCGACAATGTTATTAGAAAACGAAGGTAGATTTCGCCACCATCTACAAGTTTATGATAGCTCAGATATAAGACCCCGGTTCGAGACCAAATATTTTTTTATTTATTCCCTTTTTTTTTCAAAAAAACCAGGTCATCCTGATTTATTAACTTTATTTAACATCGCTTAAATTCGATATTAAGAAAAATTGGCGTTGTTCACTGTTTGCGGTTTCATTTATTTGAAGAAAATAAAGGGGAAATAAAGAAAAAAAGAAGTTTCCGAGTCTGTAACGTTAAATTTGATTCAAAATAACTTAAGTAAGTTTTCCCTGCTAGAAAATCTAGTATTTCTTGCGATTTCCAATAGCCATCGATCATTCTGATTTCTGGCATAATAATTCATTCGCTTGTTTGCGTTTTATGCTGTTAGTTGAGTATTAATTGCATATTATTAAAGCGTGTAACGAATTAATTGCTCTATTTCGGATTTGATGAATGCTTTGTCGCCTTAATTTTGTCAGATCTAGATTTTATGCCTATTACCTAGTGCACAAGTGGCTTAGCGGTTAGATTAGATGATTTTGTCTATACTTTGTATGTAATTGTCCTATGGAGATATTTATATGTGTATAATGTACTTTGGCTAATTGGCTACTCTGTAACGAAAATATAGTATGAAAGATTAAAATGGGATCGTAAGTATTATTTCTGCTTACTATAAATCATCGAGTTTCACGTTCTCGAAATATGATTCAGATTTTTTAGCAACTTTTGTTATAATGATCCTCTGAACTAGCGCTTTTGTTAGTAGGATCAGAAAGAAATACTACAGCTTGAGAGATCCTATACTCCAAAGGGAGCGTGTTAAAATAGTTTTTGTTTTTATGGTAATAGCAATTAATAAAGGTAAAAATACATACTATTGGCATCGGCCGGAACGCACTTTTTTGACGACCCGAATGGCGTAGTTGGTAGTGTACCTGCCTCCTGCGCCAAAGGGTGTGGGTTCGATCCCCACTACTGGAAAAATATTGTGTGATGAACATGGTGTTATTCTAGTGTCTCGGTGTTTCTATATGTATAATATGTATTTATTTACAAAAGAAAAGTATGTTTAAGTATGTTTATCAGTTTTCTAGTACCCATAGTACAAGCTTTGCTTAGTTTGGGACTAGAAAATGTTGTGTAAAAATGTGTCCTAAGAAAAATTATTATTTATTATTATTATTATTACTTTTTTACTATCGGTTGTTGGGTACCGTAAACACAAATTGCTGTGCTACCAGGAGATAAGGATTATGGTAATGGCTGAATAGTATGGATCGCTTAACAGGAGATAGACACGGAGCGACGTTACCCGGTGATGGTGTTCATCCATGGCGGTGGCTGGATGTGCGGAGACGCCACCACCCCTATGTACGGACCGCAGTACCTCCTCGACAAAGATGTGATCCTGGTAGCAATGAATTACCGACTCGGTGAGTGTCCAACATATCTGGATTTTTTTTAATTTCATTATTCAGTTCATTGAAATACACGACACGTATTTAAATGAACTGAAATGTCTGTGTTCACTTTTTGTTTCGCCTTAGATTCCATTTTCATATGATTTAATATAGAGTAATTTTGAAATTTATTAAATTTAGTAAAGTGTTTTTTTTTTTAATTAGAACATATAAGGTAGTTATATTGTAGTACTTATATTACATGTGTACCTACGAACAAAAATTAAATGATTCCACAGTGACGTATTACTATAGAACCATTTAATTTTTTTGTTCTTCATTTGTTTCTGTACGGACATAAATAACATAATAATAAAATTTAACATTCGTACCTCAAACGTTAAGATTCGATTATTAAAACAGTTATTTGAGTAATATTATGGGCTTAACTAATCGAAGTTATAACATAGGTAGTGTCAGTGTTGGGCGGACGACGATGACAGGATAATGGGTGGCTAATATAACACTATCATAATCCTGGTTTGTACGTACCTTGATCGGTAGTGACCTAGTTTGAATGCCAGTAGAAACGTCTAAGGTCTATTTTTCGTACATTCATGTAATCGCATGAGAAAAAGTTAATATGTTGTAATAATTTTAATTTTCGTTCTACGGTGAGGGGCTCGGTACAAGTAACCTACTAGTCTTGATCAGCTCGAAGTAGCATGGACCGCAAAATCTAGTCATATTCTTGTACGGATAAATTAAATGTCAATGGCAAGTAAACAGTGCAAACTAAACTATAAATATTGATTTTCTCTTATGTAAAAAGATAGCAAGTGAGGTGGCGGTTCACCTGATTTTAAGTACCACGACCTCACAGAAGACCAGCGTAAAGTGGAAGTATAATACTTTCGCGTTTCGTCTGGTGAGTGAGGTGGCCGAAGCCCAATTTCCAAAAGGTTGTCAATGCATCTGCAACACTCGGGTGTAGCAGATGTCCATGGGCAGCGGTATTGCAGCAGACGATTCACTTGACATCAAGTGAATCGTCTGCTCACATGGCAATTTTTCACAAAAAAAATGCGATAGCCGCCAGAAATGGATATTGCAACAAACAAATTATAAATGAGTTGCCAATGTTTTATAACATTTCCACTTCACGCCGGTCTTGTTGAGGTCGTGGTAATTTCCCGGATATAACTGTCCACTCGTGCAGTAGCAGAGACTGCTGCGTGCCCTACCACAGTGAAATATGATAATGACTGCGTAGTCTTTTAAGACTTTCCATTGACACCAATGTTATTTTACTTCATATGTCAATGGTGTAAGTCTTCTTATTTTTGTACTTTTCTAAACGCCGTGTTTTTTCATAGCGCTATGGATTTAGGCCAGTGTGGCTTTAAGACAGGGCCCCTTTTTAATTTGTGCAGGGCCCCTGGGATTCCTGTCCACTCAGGACGAGCACTGTCCGGGCAACAACGGTCTGAAAGATCAGCAGGAGGCGCTGAGGTTCATACAGAAGACCATCCACAGCTTCGGCGGTGACAACAGCTCGGTGACGATATTCGGGGAGAGTGCGGGTGGCGCTAGCGTTCACTACCACATGCTCTCCAAGACCAGCGCCGGTGAGTGGAACGCATGCGGAACTTAGCACTTCCCCATCGTCTCGGAAGTGCTAATTTCCGGGGATATCGCGTGATAATTTTTCATTTTGTATCGCTCCAAGTACGGGAAAGCGTTGCTAAGCACAATAAACCTCGCGAAGGTTTCTTTTGTCGCAATCTGGAAGAAGAATGATTTCTATGAAATCTTATTAATGTAGGTTGTTAATCATCTTTCCTTGTTGCCTATGTAAAGAGTAGAATAAATAGTATAAAGAGTAATATGAAAAAAAATTGGATAAATAATTAGGTACTATAGCATAAGGATTGTTTAATAAACAAATGTTATTCCCAGTATGTGGGTCAAGAGCTGGGAGCGGTGCGGTGGCAGGCTAGTTAAACGTCAAGCCTGTCACCTCTGTCAAATCCTGGAGATCAGACCGTACCGCTGATATCGTGGGCGTTCTCGATTAGATTGCTTGTCAAAATGCCACAAGTGCCGCAAGCGGGCGCAGGCACACATAATGTTAATGCTTAAGACCTACTGTGTAACTAGAGTCAAAATTATTGTGCGCTCTGTCTCGAAATAGCTAACCCCGTAATTATGAAGAAAACGTAAATTAAAAATAGAAGAATAGCCCGCGTTTCACTTGATAATCTAACGTTCGCTTGATTATTTTTAATAGATCCGTTCGGTAATGTTTATCCATTTATAGTTACGAATGCTACGCGGGCAATATTCCAGAAGAGTGCTCAAAAAATAGTATGGTCCACTTGGAATTAAAAATCATGTTGATTACTCGGCACGAATGATTAAAGTCCGTATCATTTAGAGTTTTCGCACAACTAGTATCTCACATTGGTAAAAACAACTCCAGCCAGGCAAACAGTTACAATTATCTGATGATAAATATCAATTTGATGGCCACGGCTAATCAAGTCGCTACTTTTATGCGCCAATGTTGATTCGAGTAGGTTTTGATGAATTAAAAGCGAAATATATAAGCACTCTTTGTTCATCTCGCAGAAAACCTAATTTTGTGGTTCTTTTTGATTTATTGATTGCACAACAGTTAGTCCTAGGGCGTGACGCAGTCATAAGATGTGAAGGGGTCTTATTCAATTGGTTTGGTATTCGATTACCCGAGAGTCAATCCAATAGCAGGTTTCACCTGAACAGTACACGATATGGTCACGCTGGAGTTGACAATGCGAGTCTCGAATTACCCTAAAAACACAGACAAAAAATATATACTGTAGCTATCTTAAAGAATCTTAACGTGTAAACTTTATCTCGTTTCAATATCGGTTACATTGTACACAGTTGCTATTACGGTGTCAAAGGCAGTCGCTGACGGGATTATGATTTCTTTGTTTATTCAAATCTTGTTAGTGCAAGGTCATCGGTTCCCCAGTTAAGCTGTCGGTCGGTGGTTAATCGAGGCGAGAGTTTACCCACATTAGGGTTAAGCCGCGCGTGAAATGTACAGCTCATTCTAAGTGTTCCAATTTGGTAGTCTATGATGGAACTAATGAATAGATTTTAATGAAACTTTACAATAATACAGCTTATACATCCAAATAACACATTATTTAGGCTATTATTTATAAAGATATTGTGCGAATTGTCCAAGATATAAGTAATGATAAGTGTCAACTTTGTAGGAAAAATTCAGCCATCTGCGAGATATTCTGGTGTAAAATAAAAAACTCATTGTTAATTCCCGTTGACCGCGCCGGCGAAGCCGCGGTTAACAGCTGGCATATATATATATATATATATATATATATATATATATATATATATATATATATATATATTTATATATATATATAAATTCTAAGTGTTTGTAGTCGTTCAAATTTTCGCCGCTGCAAGATCAAACCTGCGCCTTCCAGTTTTGCGCTTACTACGCCTTAACTACTCTTAAGTTATGTGGATGATGACCGCACGGCACGCGCCCTTTACAACATACAACACTTTACAAACAACATGCAAATGTGAACAGATATGTTACAGACAATAATCATTTGTTGCTAGCGCCTTCCTTACTTATGATTTCGTATTTAATAAATGTCTAGCTCCAGGTATATTTCACACGGACTGAGCATTTTTCGGGGATTAATAAAAATATTCTGTTATTCTTTAGCCCATATTTTTATGCATACTTGACATAACTCGGCAACTAATAAGTCGAACTTACGAATTTAAAGATATTATTTATCTTGTTTCCTTTCAATTATTTTACAATGAACATTAGTCTCGGATTTTACTTGAAATTGTATCAGTTATTAAGCAAGTTCCGGTTTCCGTACATTTCGATTCCCACACAGGACAGGTTTATGAATGACCCAAAGATTAATGTTCCGGATCTGCGGTGGAATCTCAAGAAGGGTTCTCGTCAAGCGGGTGGTATGATCATAATAAGCTTGCCAACAACGTTAACAGAATAATTATTAACGTGTTGTGTCAACCCCACCTAGGAGGCAGGTGATAAAAAAGTTTTACCTCCGATTTGTTATAATTACTCATTAATAAGTAAACATTGACAGCTATTTCTTATGTTAATAATGCTTTTAAATGCCGAGCTGCGGACCCAATTTACCTATAATGGGGCGTAAAATCACTTCCTTCCGTTTAAAATTTAGTTTATTTTTCGTTTGTTATGTTACAGCATAACAAACTACAAAAAATTTCATATTAGGATTTAAAGGAATTGTTTTACCGCAGTATAAATTACTATATTTCTTTTATTCTTGTTAATTCTAGTTTTTTGTTGTGTAGGCCCTTTAAATAAATTTATTTTCTTTCTTCCTTTCCATTCAGGCTTGTTTCACAAAGCAATCTCGGAGTCGGGGACAGCTCTAGTGCCCTGGGCCGAGGCGCCGCCGGGTGAAGGGCTGCGGAACGCCTTCCGCCTGGCCAAGTTCCTGGGCTGCCCGCAGGCACCGTCAGAGCTCATGCTTGACTGCCTTCGGACCCGCGACAGCTATGACATCATCAACACCGAATACATGTTCTACGTAAGTCGTTGTCAATGTATCGTCGCGCACACTATTAGAAATAAATAATGTGTGCTCTTATGTACGCACGTAAGAAGTTGCACTTCTTTAGAGCGCACGTAAGAAGTTATAGTAACGAAGTAGTTCGTAACGAAGACATCCGCAGTAGAACCAAAGTAACCGACATAGCTCAGAGGATTAAAATCAAAATCAAAATCAAATGTATTTATTCAACATAGGAGCATTACACTCACTTATTGATAGTCAAAACACTACCACCGGTTCGGAAAAGAAAGCCACTGTACTGAGAAGAACCGGCGAAAGAAACTCAGCGGGCTTTTTTTTTTTTTAAATAAGCAGTTTGACATAAATTCGTTAAAATACAATATAAGAACTCCGATTGAAAGAGCCTGGAGCGATCAGTTCATTACCAGAGTGTGTTATCATTTAAATAATCATTAATATTATAGTAGCCTTATATTTAGTAGTATTATAGTAGCCACACAAACGTTCTTTTACTATTTTTTTAAATTTAGCGTGATGTGCCGTGCGGTCATCATCCACATAAAATTCGTTAAAATACAATATAAGAACTCCGATTGAAAGAGCCTGGAGCGATCAGTTCATTACCAGAGTGTGTTATCATTTAAATAATCATTAATATTATAGTAGCCTTATATTTAGTAGTATTATAGTAGCCACACAAACGTTCTTTTACAATTTTTTTAAATTTAGCTATTGGTGCATTTTGAACGTTTTCTGGAATTTTGTTGTAATAACGTATACATTGTCCCATAAAAGATTTACTTATTTTACGCAGTCTACTTGTGGGTAGGATCAATTTATTTTTGTTCCTAGTATTTATATCATGAACATTATTATGTCTTAAAAATTTATCCTTATTTTTATGGACATACAAAACATTTTCAAAAATGTATTGAGCAGCAACAGTCAAGCTTCTTAAATTAGCAAGCTGAAGTGGCGATGGGCCGGCCATATAGCTCGTAGAACCGATAACCGTTGGGGAAGAAAGGTTCTCGAGTGGCAGCCTCGTACTGGCCATCGCAGTGTAGGACGACCCCCCACTAGATGGAGTGACGACCTGTGCAAATGTGCGGGAAGTCGATGGATGCAGGTGGCTCAGGATCATACTTCATGGCAGTCTGTGGGGGAGGCCTATGTTCAGCAGTGGACTCAAACAGGCTGAAATGATGATGATGATGATGAAGTTATACTTTTTTAGCGTAACGTTTTTTTCTGAAAAAGACATTAAATAATATCAGTTTAATGTCTAATTATTGGTAAATATCAAAAGTTGACATGTGATAATATCGTGTTGTTGGTCGGAGCTGGTCGCTTTGCCACCTTCATCATGTCGCTTTTGGACTGTCGGTGTGCACGAGTGTCGTAGAAATTTTACTCTAATGATTTTTTCCAAAAGCGCCAAAGGAAGTATAACTTCAGTATTATAATCATTTATTTATAGTAGTTATTTCAAAAAATATCTTTGGCCCAGTACATTAACAGCTAGAAGCTTTATAAAGATTCAAACACGAACACAGTTTTATTTTTAAATTCACACGTTTAGAGACTTGAGAATGTATTTAAGAATAAAACGCGCAAAATTGGTATCTAAATAAGTTCTAAAATATCAGCTGTTGCATCGGGTTGTAAAGCTATTACACAGCTGTACTAGCATCGTACAGTCTACACTTAGAGCTGTATAATTTGGGACCTCTTTTGGGGCTACAACGCCTGAATATCCTATTATACAGCCCAAATACAGCAAAGCTAAACAGATTAAAGTCTTCAAAATTTTTATAATACAACGTTTATACTGTTTTAAATGGTATCTGGTCAGTCACGTGTTCTCAGTAGTAGTAGTTTTGTTTTAGAAACAAGGAACTAAGTGAAAGTCAGCAAGAAATATGGGCTGTACGAAAAGCGATTTAAATACTGTTCGTCGGTAATTCTGATACAACAATTGTTTTTGTAAAGAAATGTATATATGAGTTGTTTTTTGATGGGCAAATAATTATAAAATAATATTTAACAAAAAAAAAGTCGACTTAAAACAGGAAACTAAACGGTAAAAAAAAAATTTACTCAGTACAAAGTAATTCGTATTTTGATTTAGACATATAAACGACAAATACTTATAGCATGAACGTATTAAATTAAAAGCAATCACAAAATCTGTTAGCAAAACAAGGAAACGGATGAGGTAACAACGGCTACTTGAGAGAGAAAATAATAGACGGAAACGCTTAGACAGAGACACGACGAAAGAGCATTGCTAGAGATGGCGCAATTACGAAAATTAAATTCAGTGTCAAATTATGCATCAGCATGCCTAGTAGGTAGTGGTATTACTATGTAAATTTTGGCATATTAAACGTTACGTATGCCAATGAACCAAGAAGTTATCCGCGAATACACATAAAAATATATATATAATTATATATATATATATATATATATATATACGGTCGAATTGAGAAACCTCCTCCTTTTTGAAGTCGGTTAAAATAAGGAATTCGGAACTCCGTCTCGCGTCGATCTCATTGGCGCTATCCAAGGTACTTTACCCTTGGCTTAATTGGCACCCTTTTCGTTAATTACTTACATTTATTGTATAAATATGGATAAATCATTAATGATTTTCGGCTACATATTGTAACGACTGTATAACGTCTTTACCAGTAGTTAAATAGGTGTACGTACTATATATGTGAAGAATATTTTTTCACATTTTAATAACATTTCGAACTAAAATCTATCCAGTAAAAATATTATGATAGATTTTTGTTTAAATAACATCCAGATATTAAGCTATGATATGAAGAACCTAGAATAGGTTCTTCATATCATATTAGACTAAATCTTACTGCTTTCGCGTTATTACTTTAACGCCTCACTACATTTTTAGACGTGGGACTATGAACCGATGACGCCGTTCAAGGCAGTGGAGGAGCCAGAGCTACCTGGAGCTTTCCTCACCGCCAGCCCGCGCAAGGCCCCAGCCACCGCCGCCGTGCCCTGGATCACAGGCCTAAACAAGGACGAGGGCTGCCTAAAGTCTGTGTGTGAGTTTTTCTAATTAAGTAACTTGAATCGGAATTAGTGGCTCGCATTAGCTTTACGGTTTTAGCAAGCCGGTTCCTCACCACCCCAGCTGTTAGATGTCAACACGGAACCACCCTCAGCCTCCGAAGTTGCTGAAGCTGTTCTCTCTCTGAAGACAGGCAAAGCACCAGGACTCGACCTAATAACCGCGGAAATGCTACAGGCCGATTTATCTTCCGCTGTCGATGTACTGACGCCTTTGATTGAGAGGATTTGGACTGAAGAAGAACTGCCGGATGGCTGGAACAAGGGGCTATTAATCACTATGCCCAAAAAGGGCGATTTAAGTCAGTGCTATAACTGGAGAGGCATTACATTACTGTTGATCCCCTCAAAGATCTTCTGCAAAATTATCCTTACCCGGCTATCGAAGGCTGTGGAACCCCTTCTTCGCAAAGAACAGGCTGGGTTCCGTTCAAACTGATCGTGTACAGACCAGATCACCACTCTCCGTATCATACTTGAGCAGGCATCAGAATGGCATAGGGAGATTTATCTTACCTTTGTATACTTCGAAAAGGCCTTTGATACTTTGAAGTGCTCCAGCATCTGGTCCCGCCTTCTGGACCTTGGAGTGCCACCGAAAATTGTCCGTATATTAGAAAACATTTATAAAAAATATACGTATGTAATATACGTAATATGTAAGGTGGCTCACAACGGCCTCATCTCTGATGACATCGCAATACACGCGGGTGTCCGCCAAGGCTGTCTGCTTTCGCCTCTTCTATTTATCGTTGTTCTTGACGGAATTATGCTTCACATCTACAATAACGGGCGCTCCGGGATCGAGTGGGGATCATCCAAAGTCTTAGAAAACTTGGATTATACCGATGACTTATGCCTGCTGAGTCATACACACGCCAACATGCACGCTCAGTTGAACAACCTTCGACAGGAGGCAGCGAAGGCAGGACTAAAAATTAACATCCGGAAGACCCAGGAGATGCGTATAAGAGAATAGAATTTAACACCTATGCTAATAGGCACAAAGGCGGTGGAACGCGTCCACTAATTTACGTACCTCGGGAGCGTTGAGCTTCACGGATCGCCAAAGCTCGAGCTACCTTCGCACAACTGAAACCTATGTGGCAGTCACGGAAACTGACCCAAAGGATTAAACTCAAAATCTTCGGGTCGAATGTCAAGTCCGTTCTGCTCTACGGGTGCGAAACGTGGAAGGTAACAAAGAACATCTCACGCCAAATCCAAGTTTTCGTCAACCGACGCCTTCGTCGCATACTCGGAATTTACTGGCCCGAGACCATCTCCAACATAGAACTGTTGGAAAGATGCCACGAGAGCTCGATTGACCGCCAGAGCAAGCGTCGCAAGTGGAAATGGATTGGTCACACGCTCCGGAGAGGTTCCGATCACATTCCGAAACAAGCATTGGATTGGAATCCTCAGGGAAAAAGAAAGCGTGGCCGTCCCTGGCAAACCTGGCGTCGATCTACTGTGGACGCCCTCTGCCCCTAGGGGACATAGGATTTTAAGTCAAGTAAGTCAAGTTTACTGTTATGCAAGCAATAGGGTGTAATTGGTAAACCAGGATATCTGAAGCATATCCAAAAAAAAATGTGACTGCAAATTCTCATCATCATCATTTGAGGCATTACAGCCGCGGATGGGCCTTAGCCCGGTCAAGTAAATCTCTCCAGTCCGATCTATTCATGGCTCTCTTTCTCCACCCTATCATCCCCAAGTTCTTGGTGTCCAGTTCGACACGGTCCAACCATCTGAGCTTGGGCATGCACTCCTTGTGCACTCCAGCCTGCCTTCCAGATAACGCCGTGTAGTAATCCAAGGTGTAATAAATGAAACGCACTCGACGACGTGTGTGACAAGACTGCTTTTATTGCCATATACCAAATGCTATACTTATATACATAACTTACACCTGCAACATCTCTCTCCTCATAAACATTAAAAATAAACCTAATCATATATTCCTACAAACATTTAGGGGCCGAGGCAACAGCCCCGGGACCTCCACAGACGAGAGGCCCCAACAATAGAAACTTAAAAAAATCAAATTCAGACTAGTAAACATAATAAACAACTTTCATATTTTTTTTTCGCGTTTTACTTTTTACCTTCAATACTTTGGACAAACATGATTACATTAAATATTAACATAAATCAATAGAAAATAAATTGGGGCCTAGGGGCATCCACTCCTTTGTTGCCCGAGACCTCCAGACCTCTAAATCTGGCCCTGCTTCCAGAAGTCATTTTGGCACTCTGGCCTCGCACCACGTGCTCTGCCCATCGCAGGCATCCGAGCTTTATGAACCTGAAAACGTTTGGCTCATCATATATTTAGTACAGCTCGTGGTTATAACGCGTTCGCCACCTCTCATCTTCCATCACAGCTCCAAAGATATGTCTAAGTAATACGCTCAAATACCAACAAGGAATTTTCGTCCCTTTTCCTCAACACACAAAATTCAGAACCGTAGGTAGGTTTTGTACGGTAGAAGTTTTATGTGTCTTGAAAGAAGTTTCGAGCGAAAATATCTTAGCAGGCCGAAGTAGCACTTGTTAGTGGGCATTATTATCCTGTTTATTTGGGTCATAAACAAAAGTGTGAATCAAAACTTGGAATAAAAAAAAAGTTAATTTTTATGTTAAAAATCAACATTTATTATAAAATGTAACAAAATGATCATTTTATGAATAAATTCAGAGATCAAAACCATATTCTCTACAAAATAGGCCACATTTCCATTTTTTTGTGTCCACGGAAAAGACGTAAGAATCAACAGAAAAGATAAAACTGGGCTTTCAATTAATAACTGTGCTTTCAAAACTCTGTTAACTGATACAAAATAATAATTACACTGTACTTAACTGCTTAATATAAAAAAACGAAACAAATTATACAACATTTGTTGACTTTAAAAATAAAATAAAATTGTCCAAGGAAGTGATTTCTCTTCTGTTGACATTAGAAATGTCAAGAAAAAAAAAATGTAACCATAGGGAAAATGTAAACTTTCATCTAAATCTAGAATCTTCATCAACTTTAATAAAAATATAGAATCTTCATGTTCACTGTATAGACAGTGAAGTTGAAGAACAATCATTTGCATAGGCAAATGGTTGTTCTTTTTTTAGTCACTTAGTTTGATAACAAAGGAAAAATTATATCAGACTCATCGGAATTGGAAATTACTCTCAATCTCTATACCTCTATAAACACGTCATAATTTTAAATTCCTTTAAACACGTCATAATACAATACACCACATTGCTGCACTACACCACATTGCTGCATTCACTTGACTTTGGTCCGTGAATGTACGTAAAACCAGCAGAGCTGAGAAGATAAAACTTTTAAGATAATAATAATAATATTTATTACGTTAAATATTTGATTACCATTAACAAATTCAGTGATCGAAGTCACCTAGTAAGCATAAAATGCCTGCGACAGGTGACTTCGCTCTTCCATAGCTGATAATTTACAACTCACAAGAAAATAAAAAAATAGCAAAAAAAATAAATAAACATATGAAGTAAAATCTAAACGAAATAAAAAGAGCAAGATTTCTAAGAGAAATTCGGGTAAGTTGGGACTTATTTCTCTGATTCTGTAAACCCATTTCTGTCAACCCATTCTGTCAACCCAAGACCCATTTCTGAAAATATATCGTTCCTATTTGTTAGTAACGATCCAAGGTATACAAAATCATTGCCGCTAGAGAAGGCATTTTCTCATAATAAATCTACGTACTCTCCAATCCGCAATATGGTTTATTCTCTTTTGGCCCCGTGCATATAAAAGTATAATGCATTTAACAACATAATGCGTACCTAAGTATCAAAGCTGTTCAATAATTATTAATTTGATAACCCTAGCCAATATCAACACACACTAAACACCGATACTCCACCACACCAAATCTTCACAAAACAAATTATTGAAGGCAAGACGTATACCGTTAGCGTCAGCCTTTAATAATATTTACACCACAGGCTTATACAAAAAAAACCCTATCCGATAACTATAGAACATACCACAGTAAAAAAAGCGTCCAAAGCACGGAATAGAGAAAACGAGTGGGAGTGCCATGTGGGCGTAACCCGACGGCCACAGTTAAGCGAAAGTGTCCCTAACTGAAGGCAATATGAGCTAGAACGCGATTGGAGACGATTGCGCTGTCACACATGTCCCATGTGTCAATTTGAACGCTCTGTACAGAGTAAAAACGAGTGTGATCTCAAAATTTACCACGGTGTAACTAAAATATCGATAAATTTATTTGTAGATTTATTTGTAGTTCAAAGTACGACACAAGCATTACTTGCGTGAGTTTGACGATAACGGGTCCGGTACACGAGACTATGAGAAACACTTCCATTGTTTTCTCTATTCAGTGAGTATAATATATCACTGGAATGATATGTAACAGTCTTTTAGATAAACAGCTCACTAGTATGTTAGAATTTACCACGGTCTTTATTTTATCATTATTTTTATTTTTTAAAAACATTGCCCTTACTTTAGGATAACTTTATCTTGTGTTGTAAGGACGTTTTACAAACATAAATTTCACGCGGACAAACACCCAGATGCGAAACAACTATCTCTGGGTCACACAAATAGTTGTCCCGTGTGGGAATCGAACCCATGACCCCCGACGCCGAAGCCAACACCTTGGCCACTGCGCCATGGAGTCATCAGTGTAACTAAAATATCGATAAATTTGATTGTAGATTCATTTGTAGTTCAAAGTACGACACAAGCATAGGGACATAGACAAATGAATACGGCACTAAAAGAAAATTAAATTATATCTATTTCAATTTGTACTCAAAAGCAATGAAATGCTATATATTCGTATGGCATCATTAACATTATTTAAACATTTTATGAAAAATAAATAAAACTAGATTTAGGCGATAATTTTACCCGTTTTAGAACAATAATAACATAATATTTATTTGAACGTGT